TTTCTTGAAGGGTGACTTAAAAACCTCATATAATCATTAACTTTAAAAATAACAACCTTGTCAAACAAGGATTAGGGAATCTGACCTTCTTCCTCAAAGAATGAAGAATTACTAAAAGGGGCACATTAATCATCCATAGGCATGAAGAACATGAGGTTTCACTGTACAACAGATCAGCATAAATGATAAACTGTAGGACAGAAAGCGTTTTTGCATAAAGTTGGGCAAACTGTAGAATTATAAAAACCTTCATCGAAAGAACAAAGGGATCTCTCATTTTCATTTCAGAGGGGAGAGCATAGCATTGTCTGTAAATTAGCTTTCTTTCAATAAACTTTTCTTTACTTTCACAATTTGTCTTGCTCTTGAATTATTTCTCTAGCAAAACCAAGAACCCTCTTGGTAAGGCCCTCCCTCCTGGCGAGGCCCTCCCTCCTTGGGGGGTCTTGCCCTGTCGGGCAATATTCCCACATTGACTCTAGCTAGGCTTGATTATTTGACTTGCTTTGGCCAACGGGCAATAGCAAAATTGTTGTAAGCCATAGCTTGAAAAAGTACTTATGCATTCCTACTTGTCTCTTGGAACAATCCTGGGCTAGCCTGCTGAAGGATGAGAGACCATATGGAGAAGAGTCAAGTCAAGATCATCTAAAATAATCTTAAACCAGCCAATAGCCAGAAAACCCCAAACATAAGAGGAAGTCTAGCCAGGATGAGCAGAGCTACCTAGCAGACCCATAACTGAAGCACGGATAAGCCCAGCCAGGTCTAGAAGAACCACCTTACTGACCTGTAGACTTGTGAGCAATAACAACTGCTTTTTGTTTGGAGCCACTGAGTTTTGGGGTGTTTTTTGTTTCTGTCTATTTTAAATGAATTAGCTAACTAAACATGGTAGTACCATTTACTGACTGGAGGAAACACGGGTAGGAAAGAGAGAAAGGAAGCGAGTGAAAAGAAAAATCAAGCTCATCTTCTCTCACTCACATGAACTCCTACTTATCCCTTCAAGCTCAACTTAGGTATCAACTCCAGGAAGCTTTCCCAAATCCCCCAGCCTGGTTTAGGAAGATACTCAAATACTACCATTGTATTTTGTACACATCCCAATTACTTCCTTCTCACAGTATTTTACAATTATGTTTATACTTTTCTTCCAAACTAGATGAAAGCATTTCTGTGTTATTAACTGTGTCTTATTTTATCTTGATATCATCAGCACATGATATCTTCAAAACAGGCCCTGAATAGATGCTTCTGAATTTAATAAATGAATTAATAAACACTGGTTTGATACGCTAATGTCTAGCAATTATCTCTATATCAGTATTTCTCAAAATGTGATCCACTGACAACATGCATTATCATCGGCAGAAGTGTGTATTAAAAAATGCAGCCCTCTGGGCTTT